AAGAGGGGTTCACTCTAAGTGTTAGGATGCCAAGAGAGCCTGCTTAAAAAACAAAAACATGAACTTTGGAGTCAGTCTTTGAGCAAGTGGTTAACTTCTCTGTGCTTCAATTTCCTCTTCTGTAAAAACTGAGGCCCATAGTACCATGAGTACCTACCTTATATGATAGTGATGAGAATTAAGTATAATCATGTAACTTTAAAATAAGCAAAGCTTTCTTAACTAGCACACACAAAGAATTAGCGATAAAAAAAAATGATTGAAACATTGGACTTCACTAAAATCAAGAACTCTTATTAACTGCAAGATACTATTAGGAGGATAAAAAGAAAAGCATACCAGATTGTATTTTCCAGAAATGTCTGTGATAATATTTCTCATCTCATATGCTCATTCAGAATCTTGCCACTGCCCCAAGTTTATGTCCCTCCCTTGAACCTGGGTGGACCTTTGTGACAATTTGACTAATACAATATGGCAGAATCAATGCTATGGGACTTCTGAGGATGGATCGTAAAAACCCACACAGTTTCCACCTCTCCTAGGACATTCGCCCTTGGAACTCAACCACACTACACTGTGAGGAAATATAATCCATATAGAGGAATACATAGAGGTAGGAACCAAGGCAGACAGTCCACATCAACTTGCCAGCCATGTGAGTGAGTTGTCTTGGGAGCAAATGTTCCTGCTCACGTTTGAGCTGCCCCAGCTAATGCCGTGTGGAACAGAGCAAAGCCTTCCCTACTGAGCCTTGGCCAAATCTTGACAGCACATAACTAGGATCATTATTCAGCGCCATGACGCTTACATCAGGCCTAATTAGTAGTTGTGCTGCTGTCTATGGATTTGTGGCGTTCCTCTAGGGCAGACAGGCTCAGTAGGTCACAATGCCTGCAAGGAACCATTCCTCTTTTCTCTAATACTCCATTCTAAGAATGCACGCTCTTTTAAACTTCAGTACTCAAGATGTTACCAAGGAGACCCCTGGTGGTGTAGTAGTTTCTGGTTCCAGTGTCTGTAACTACAGAATAAAATTGGTAGAATAGGATCATCCACGTACCCTAGATCAATCTCACCCCTTTCTAGTGTCAATTATTGATGAAAGGCTCTTGGGAACAAGGTCACACTGATAGAACGCAATCGATAATGAAGGGGAAATGCTGAGCTACCGAATGTACTCTACTTGAATCAGAAAAAATACACACGATTCAAAATTGCGCTTGGCAAGTCTCCACAATGCCTGGTTGTGGGCACCTTTCAGTGTTATTAATAAGAAAAGTCTTATATGCTGCAAAGACGTCAATCATTTGAGGATAGGCACAAAATCAGGCTGCCACCAAAATCTGAATATACTATGATCATACTATACATTTCATTTCCTAGAAATGCAGTGATGTGCTCTGATATTTGCAAAATAAGAAAAATAACTTTAAGTAATTTTAATATACTGAAGATCTGTTTAGAATCAGATGGATCTATGAATATTTTCAAATTTGAGAATCAGTGGAAATTATTTTTACCTACTTATACCCTAATTTTCCATGGTAAATTCTAATATAAACTGTTTAACTCAGCAAAACAAAGGGACTTAGAGCATAATAACAATTATAATTACCATCAAATACAAAAATACTATAGTCAAGGATTCAAATGAATAATTCTTAGTTTCCTTGCTATATCATGCATGGAAATCAAGCTTGTATCTATTTTTTAAATGTTAAGATCATAAGAAATGTTTAAATTATTAATACGGAATTATCTCTGTTAAAGATACTAATTTATAAATATACTGCAACCTAGATACAATGGGGATCTTTTATTATGATGTCCTAACCACAAATAAATTGGTGGATTTTCCAACAAATAAATATAATTATATATTAGGAGCCAGAAAAAAAATGTTTTTGAGCAACTCTTTCCACTTGCAATTGATTTTCAACTATTTCCCTGTAATAAGTCACACACTATACTGCAGATGTGTCAGTATTTGTTGACTGGCTGTCTCTGAGTATTCACTTTACACTAATGTGGACATTCTGGACACCATGTCTAGACATCTGCTTATTCAACTGGAACTTGGGGCTTCTTGGGATTCATCCCAGCTCTTGTACTCTCTGCTTAGCCCTCGATGAATCACTGCTGATCTCCAGAGCCACATTTTCCAGTCTATCAAATAAGATGAAACCTGCCAGTCTTTCCATCTTCTGTTCTATACAGCTCTCAGTGGTAGGCAAAGGTATGATCTCACAAGGATTTTCATAAGGTCTAAATAGACGATGTTGAAGTTTCTCAGAAGAAAGATGCTCTGTCAGTAGAGGTAAGGCACTTATTATGATGTTATTGGAAATCTTTATGGAAGTATTGCAAACAAGATAGAACGTACAACTGCTTAAATAAAAGTTGAATGTTCAGCATAGCAATCAGTTTTCTGATTGCAAAATTAATACATGTTGGGTTTAGAAAATACAAAAATATGAAGAAGATAAAAAATTATGCCTGTAATATCTCCACACAAAGCTGAAAATTTAACAAAAATTTAAGACTGATTGCTCCCTTTTTTCCTATGAGAATAACACTCAAAATAATACACTGGTTGTCAAAAGAACCTCTTTATTTAATTAAATGCACTAATATAAATATTTATAGTGGTTTTCTTCCCTATATCTCTAAGAAATGCATTATATAAAAATTATATTACACTTTCCAGCTAAGCTTAATTATCTTTCTCCATTAACTCTCTGTTCTCTTTCCAGACACTTTGTTCTGTGTCCTCTCAACCAAGTTTCTGTTCTCTGTTTCCATTGCCCTCAATCTTCTATTCCTACTCCAATATAGGCAGCTTCTAAAAATCCCTATGCAATTCAAGTTTTGTCCTCAGCCTGCATAGTCCACTCAGCAGAACAAAAACCCATATGGAGTTGAACAGTAATCAAACCTTGATCCTCAAGCCCCTGGGAGGGATTAGCTCTCTGACCTCGTTCACTTTAGGGAGATGTTCTAAAATGGTTTCATTCTGACTCAGCGTGTGGTTTCCAGAGGAATTCCGAAATAACTTCTAAAGTAAAATACGTCTGCAGAAGAAGCTCCTAAACCTAACCTCAAACAGAAATAATAGCCAAAAGTCTACAGGATTGGAGGAGGTTTTATGAAGCTCCTTTATAATCGCCATAAAAATTACAAAGTAAATAAAGGAGGCTCACAATGCTGGTGCTTAACAAGCTAAGAGGCAAAAATTGATGCGTGCTGAAAGAACACAAAAAAGCAAAGCTATAGGGAAAAGTTCCCATTGAATTCTAGGCTCCCCACTGCCAATTATCTCCTGATGATAGATGCTGGGTACACAGGGCTGAGTCCTCAGATGTGGTAATGGTTTGTAAAGACTCACCCAGTTATTCGCTTGATTCTTCTGGCTAAACAACAAATAGACACCTGAAAATGAGCCAGGCAGAGCCAGGAGTGACCAAGGTGACCAGGAGGCAGCAGCATCAAATGCCTGTGACCTTGTTCACATTCCCAATATCCTCTACCCACACTGAATTCAGAGAGGAAATTGCCTTAACTCTTTGAAGCTATTGAATCTTTTAATAAACCAGACAGAAATGCCTTTTCATGGTTAACTAGCTAGCAATATAAGCCAATGATGCCTGCCAGGAAGAAGAAAAATAATAAAATAAATGACAGTCTTTATTAAAGAATTATCATATGTAAAGGTATGCGAGTGTGCATATGCAAAATGACAGCACTCTACTTTTTTAAGTCTTCGGTGTCTTCAAGATATTTTTGGTTTAACAAACAAATATAATTTTACTTCGGCTAACCTCGTAGTAAAGGTTATAGCAATATTTACTCATATCATCATTCTTTGCATTTGTAACAAATCTCTAGCCTGTTTTTCCCATTATTGTGGACTCAGAAGAAAACAGACAGCCTGAATAAACTGTATGTAGGCAGAGAAGGAGTCAGGGCAGTAGGTAAGAAGACTTTTAGATCAGAAAGCCAGAGGGCCGGCTGGAGCAGGAGTGGCCAGAGCAAATGCAGAAAGTGCTCCAGGAGACAGAAGCTATGTGATGGGAAGAGGCAGGGAGAGGTTTGGAATGGACATATCCAAGAATCACTATGAGCAAAGAATAATTAGGGACCCATACCTAAATTATTAAATCTTTAAAGCACAAATTTTTACGTTGCCCATCTAAGAAATTTTGATAATTTCTTCTATTACTCCTCCTCTTACTGCATTAAGTTCATGGTAAATGGCAGACTTTGGGAGGTTTTATAGTATTCATGCATTCTTTTCTTCAAAGGCTCATCAAAGATTACTTGATGGAAGGAGTATCTGGAATTTGGGGCCATGTTTTAAAACTGCCACAGCGGCTTTTGATAACGGCTCTGAGCTGCCAGTAAGAAGCTTGAATACCCCAAGTTGCCATGATCTGAAGATGCTCAACCCACAAGAAAGGTCTTGTTGTAAGAATTCCTGGTCCACAGAATCCATGAGCAAAATAAAAAGGTTGTGGTTATACATTGCAAAGGCTGATGTGGTTTGTTACTCAGCAATAGATAACGGAAGCAGCTACTCTTTATTAAGCACGTCTCTGCACCAACATTCTACACATGGGTAGTTCTTCATCGATGAGAAAACCAAGGTCAAGAGAAGCAAAGAACATATTACAGATCATGCCTCTGAAAGTGACGCTGGCACAGTTAAAACTCTTGCTCGTTTGAATCTGAAGCCAAGCTCTTAAGTACTCCAGGGGGCCAAGGGAAATCTCTTCCACCAGAAGGGGGAGAGGTAGAGAAAGATGGTGTCTCTGTCTTTCTTCTGAATCTGTATTAATTACCCCACATTACGATATGAAATTTAAGTGCTTCATTCTCTTGAACATTTCTCTTCTTAATTCTAAATCTTCCCAAGGATGAGAGATGCTTACCCACTAAGAAATGTCTTTTATTTTAATTTGAAGGGAAGAGTGGTTACCTTTTCATGTACTTTTTGAAGTTGTTTGCTTGCTTGAGGTTACAAAATGACCCAAGTGGGCTACTGTCTGGGTTTTCGTACTTCATCTTTCTTTCTTTCTTTCTTTCTTTTCTTTCTTTCTTTCTTTCTTTCTTTCTTTCTTTCTTTCTTTCTTTCTTTCTTTCTTTCTTTCTTTCTTTCTTTCTTTCTCTTTCTTTCTCTCTCTCTCTCCCTCTCCCTCTCCCTCTCTCTTTAACAAAAATTACATTCTTTCTTTCTTTCTTTCTTTCTTTCTTTCTTTCTTTCTTTCTTTCTTTCTTTCTTTCTTTCTTTCTTTCTTTTAAAACATTCTGAGTCTATTTGAAGTTTCTGTGCCAGTGGTTCCTCAACTTCAAGGGGTGAAAAATGTCACATGGTTCACTTGACTGAATTCAGTTTATATATAACCTAATCCTTCTACCTGCTCCCAAAAGTTTGCACACAGCACCCCCCCCACACACATACACTGCTCACTGCAATTATAGCCCCCAAAAGTTATGAAGAATGATTTCTCCTATTAAATACCTCCATGCAAATAAAAAAGCATTTTGAATACTTATATGCATGTCAACATTTAAAGTTTTTAATGAGAAAAATGAGCTGCTTCTTTCTTGTTCATTTAGCTAATGTAGGTTAGATTGGTGACAGCACTACTTACTGAGGATAATTCTAAACTGCTATACTTTATCTCACTAACACTCAGAGTAGGCAAACCAGTGTCATAATATGTTGACAGAAATGGAATAGAGATGTACAGCAGTTTTAACATACTCAAGATATTTATTAACTCTAATCTAAAATAATTCATTTTAAATCCTTCATTAACAGCAAGTTTTAACAATTTATTCTGTAAAATTTTAGCTAAATTTTTATTATCTTTGGGTAAAAGAAATAGATTCTAGATCCAAGACTATTCCATATGTTCAAAATAACATTCAAAATATTCTATCAAATCCCTAAACTGTCTGGTGGCCAGTTTTCATAAGTGTGAAATATCTAGCTCACCACTTACTTCATTGATAATTAGTGTTAAGAGAAATGTCATAAAACAATTATAAAAACTCTGTTATTCTAAGTTTCTAACTTGGATCTACACTATGTGAAGACCTAGAAATGCTTTATTCTGAGTATCTCATTCATCTTCAGAATACAAATATGCATTTTATAAATATACAGACACCAAGACAACATAACAGTTCATTTTCTTTGCAACCAATCACCAGTGTCACACTGAGTAAAAATCCTGTCATTAATATTGCATGAAGATATGACCTATAAACTCATGGTGTGTAATTCTCTATATCGATTCAGATAAACACAAATTCATTGAACTCCTACTAAGTGCCAGGTGTTGCATTTAATACTGGGGACACAAAAACAAAATGAACAAACACAATTTCTACTGTTAGAAAATTCTGAACGTGTTTGAGAACAGAGGCCTAGTTTAGGCAGAAGGCCAAGGTTCTGACTAACATGTGAGAGTCCTCATAATGGGAGATTTTAGAGATTTACTTATGGAAGGTTTTGTAGGGTTGGCAGTGCTTATATCTGGGTGTTACCCTGGTGACAGGCTACAATACATTCATAATTTTCAACTGTGGTTTCACAATAAAGATCATTAGTAATATGCTTCTGGCATTTAAACCTTGAGAATGTACATCTAATTTCAGAGGCAGATGTTTAGAATTGGGTTTTTAAAACTTAATTTATAGAAGCCTTTGGGATTGATGAATCCCCTCTGTCAAAGAAACCACACAGGAAGTCACAGACAGATGGCCATAACAGAAGCTCTAGGGAGCTCATAATGATATTCCATATGGCATTTGGCATGGGGCTCAAAAAAGTGGTTCTAACGTCCAGAAATGAATTAACCAACAGTCATGGAGGAATTAAATCTTCTCTCGTGACCTTTATTGCAGTGCAGAACTCCATTTCAAATCAGCACACAATGCAGCAAGAATAAGCGTGGCAGGAGCTGGGAGAATAAACACAAAGTTTAATCAAAATGAAATGCAAATCAAGCAATTAGCAACAGAATCATAAACCTTTCGTAGGCTAGTAGAGCTAGCTCAGAGTGCCAGCTACTGTTTGAAGAAATATTGAGACTTTACATGAACAGACTTGGAATTTTAACATGGGAGCAATAGTCTAACTTATGGGTGTGCATACTGCGGCCCGCAGTGAAATAGGGCCCACTGCCTATTTCTGTACAGCCTGCAAGCTAGGGAAGGAATTTTGTGTTTTTAAAGGGTTGAAAAAAAAATTAAAAGAAGAAGAATATTTTATGATATTTATAAATTATATGACATTCAAAGTTCTTCTGCAATGTCCAATAGACTGGCAAAACTTCCAGTAGTTTTACTGGCCCACGGCCATGCTCCTTTGCTTAGGTATCGGCTGTGGCTGCCTCATGCTATAACAACAGAATTGAGTAGTTGTGACGGAGACTGCCTTGCCTGCAAAGCCTAAAATACCTACCATCTGCTCTTTATGAAAATATTTGTGCATCTGCATCCTAGCTCAACATCAACAATTTAAAAAAGAGGAACTGAGGCTTGCTATGTAGGGATTTTGCCACAAAAATCATTTTTTTAGCACTAAAAATTGTGTGCCAAGAGCAAGGATTTGTTGTCGTCACTTAGGGTTTCAGAGCCCTTGTGGATGCCTTAACATTTGTCTAATTGTCCTCTCTCTTTGATTGTAAACTCTGTCTGGATAGGGGCAGGATCTGCCATGTTCTTCAGTATCCATCCTGCTATCTTGATGCTCATATATATATATTTGTGAATTAAATGCTCTCCTTCAAAATACTCTTTACTACTGCCGGTGTGATCTTCCTAACATTAATAATGGTTTTCTCAGGATAATGTAAGTTTTTACCTTGACGTGGTTCAAACTTACAAATGCACAAAAAGTATATGGTAAAAGTGACTGTCTCTCTTACTCAGTCCCCCAGCCACCCAACTGGTCCTTCCAAAGACGAATAATGCTATTGGTTTCTTGTGTCTGTTTCCAGAGAAATAATATGCAGAAATAAGCATACGAGTATTCTTTATTTTACCCGAAGTTAACATATTGTGCACAATGATATGTACCTTTTTTTTTTCATGTTGAGCACATTTTGGAACTTGTTTTATACCAACACAGAGTGGCCATCAAGTCTAGAAACATAAGAAATGTTTTTCTTAACACATAGCTTATTGATATACAATATGTGATAGTACTTCCAGGTGTTATGGCCAGGCAGTATTTGTATAGCAATAAAAATATATGCCTTTTTAAATTCCCTCAAGAATCTCCTTCTTTCTCACCTGGCCAGTGCTGCTCCCGCACCTGGCTGCCCCTCTACTCCGGGACCTGGATGAAACACCACACAGGAAGGTATGGGTCACAGCTTCCTGTGTGCTGCTAAGGGCCAGATGACATAACTGGCAAGTGTGACCCGCCACCAATTAGAAGGAAGAGACAGGAGAAGCCAAGCATTGGACTTCTCCCTCCTTTTTTCTCCTCTGTGAACTACTCTGAGGTGGTTCCTACTTGTCATCTCTCTGCTAAGTGAAACGCTATCTCTTTCCAACATATCGATCTAGTCAGCATGATGACACACTCTATTGCATTGCACCGTCCCTTGACTTACCTTCCTTTTGCCTCACCCTCACCATCCTGGGTTTGTGCCTCCCAGATAAATTTTTAGCTTTGCTTTCTAGAGAATTTGATCTAGGACACTATAAATCTGCCTCATTTTTTTAAATAGCTGCATAGTTTTTCATTTATGTATATGCAAAATTTATTTAACTAGTCCTCTCTTGGTGGACATTTAGGTCATCTCCAATCTTTACAGACATGAATATTTAAAATATCAATTACTTTTGGATCTCTGTGTTTTCAGGTCATCTCTTATTTAGTGATATCACATTACTACATAATTATTATTTTTATCCTAAAAAAATTGAAGCTGAACACTTTTAGAAGGGTCGGGCATTACTTTCCTCTAGGGACTCATTTTCTGCCACTCTTACCTTTAAATTTCACAAGCCATCAATAGTAAACTACTTGTAACTCCCAGAAC